GCTTGCTCGTTCGCCTGTTTTTGTCATACACATACATAATCATACATCATATATACTACGTGTGCATATATGTAATATCAATACACACATTTTTATATATATGTGTGGTTTAATGTATATATATACACTATAGTATATACATACATTATGTATATATATAAATATCTAGCATATTATATATATATAATATATATATATATATATTATATTACATACATATGTGTGTAATGTGTCTATCTGTCTTACTCTCCTCTCACTCTCTCTCTCAGCGTTCTGTCTCCCGCTCTTATATATATACTTACATTATGTATGTATATATAATTTCCACACACCCACACACATATATATAGCTTTATAGTAGATAAATAGACAGATAGGTACATAGACGATTGGTAAATTATATAGATAAATGTCATATATATATACACTACATTTGTGTATAAATATGGTATACACACATATATAAATGTATTTGTGTGTGTGTGTGTGCATATGCTATAGATATAGATATTACACACGTACATGTGATAATGATGTGTATATATATGGTATATGTATATACATTAAATTCATCTATATAACGCACATGCATATTGTGTGTGTGTATTATTAAACAACACACAAAAACTATACAATGATGAAAACTTATCCGTTTTCTTAAGTTCAGTGTTCGTAGATGCTGGTGTGTCGCTAAAAAGGACAAATTCCCCTTTTTTAAAACTTATAAAAAGCCAGAAGACGATGTTCGTCGACACAAGTCGAAGATGAGGTCGAATACATCTTTGTTGTGGTTAGTTAATGTTTTTTGGTGACCCTAGTTTTTAATCTATGTCGCGGTTGATTCGTGCTAGTGTAAAACTGAATGGAAGGTAAATTGTTTCTTCTACTAGAACTAGTATAACTACATGATCTTGTGGAACTTATTGTGGGCATAAGTGCCATAGTACTTGAGGGTCAGGAATTGGGTATAATCCTGGTCGATAGTTTGGTTATTCAACACCAGATTTCAGTTTTTTTAGTAGCTGCTACTACTAGATGGGCCATATTTTAACTTGTCAAGAAGATTTTCACTAACTTGTAGGAAACGCTTTTAATTAAGCCTTCCCAGCTTACAACTGCCCTTCAAATCTGCGCCAGACCCGATATTCATTGGCCTCCTAGACAACGCACAAGTTTGTCAAAAGAAATGACATTGGATCAGATATGCAGTCTACTTTGTGGGGCTTAATTAAAGACCTGAAATAACTTTTTGTAACGTCCCGATATTCTACGAATGCCTTTACTTTCACAGCTGGCCCTGGGTGTAGTCCCTTGTAGGCAGCCAAGAGTAAGTAGCCACTTTTGCATTGCAATACACTTACGCCTCTATAGATGCACTAATGCAGATTGGGTCCGTGAAACGAATAAGACCCTCTTTATCTTTCCAGGGACGCTCACGAAGCGAACGCAGTGTTTATGCAGACCAACCACCTTACTCGAAGCTGTGTGAGAAACAGCCTGACCAAATTCATTTGCGCCAACTGCACGACCTTGGTCAGTGTGTGAAGGGACAGGCTTCACTCGCCACTGCATTGAGGACCACTTCTGTTCGGACAGGCCCAGTTTGCGGTGGTGCTGCTACCCAGATGAACCGCGGAATGCACCTGCGTAAGTGCCAGCACGTCCGAGTGGCCCCTACGACCCCCCAGAGGTTCTTCTCTTGCAAGGATGGGTGCTTCCGTCCCCCGAGAACTACAAGTGCCAGATGGTATGGTGTTTCGATGAGGGCTCGGCACAGTGCCAGACAGGCGAGTGGCCTGCCTACATGCGTGGTGGCGGTACCCTTTGCCCCACCCAAGCAATTGCAATGAATTTAACTCGTGCATTAGCCTGCGCAGTGGATGGCTGCAGAAGTCGTTCGTGTGCACCACTGGCATGATGTACAAGCACAAAAAGGATGCATGTGAAGCTCCTTGCTGTACCATCGTGGCCAGCAGGAAGGCCGATACCCTGAACCTCCTGACAAGCAAACTACTTTTGAATGCTACATGATTGGGGGGTGTTACGGCAGATGCGTTTACCAGCTGCCTGAGAGCTACAGGTGGGATATGTGTCTCCAGGTGTGGGCAACGTGCGGGAGGCAACCACGGAGGAACGATGATAACTATGCCTTCGGCAGGGCGACTCCCTGACAACTTATGTCCAGGTTAGTAGGATTTCCTAATTAGTGCAGAGGCTTAATTGAATTAAATGTTATCCATACACAATATTCTAGAGGTTAACTACATTTATTTTCTGTTCAGGGGGCATGAGCAGCACGTTAAGGGCGACTGTTCTCAAGAGTGGATTGAGGCCAGGCCTCTATTTCGATGTGTCTAAAATAAACTATATATGTAGTTTGTCTGTTCTTATCCTATTTTAAGTAAACAGGAATAAGAAATTGACTAACCCCTGACAAGTATTTCTATTATTTCGTAGAGAATATTATCTAATTTCGTTACTGTATAATGGTTTCCATGCCCCTTTTGACACACGACTATTTAATGTAAAACTTACCCTTTCGGTTTATTTTAAACGTAAAAAAATTCTGTCGTACTTGCTCGATTTTGAACATAACCTCCCACCCTTACCTACATTGTACAATCGGATGCAAATCTGGGGCTCAGATTTACCCTGATCTCCAGTCCAACTGGTAAAAATTAGTCTCCCTGAAATTACCTCGAAGTTCCTGGCAGGAATCCATCCCCCCCAGACATCTCAAATCAATGTCTGAATCCAACCAGTGAGCATTAGTCAAAGGCGAAACATAGTCGCGATTGTGGTGGCCCCCATAATCTAATTTGCTCCATTATTGCGTTCCTGTTTTAGTAAATTTGCGAGGTCTTCACTCCCTAATCCAAACTTGATTTTACTACTCCCTCCCAAATGTTCTACACCCCTAAACTAAGTGTAGAAGTTCCCTACTACCTCTTACCCAACTAATTGTCTTGCCATTCTAACAGCAAGCCACTCCATTACTGCAGCCCCAACATGCCCCCTCTGCCTCCCTGCATACCTGCAGCAGGCTAATGGCACCTTTCTTCACTTGCCTCATCTACCTTTGCTTCCCCCCCCCCCCGAAACGTTTTGCAAAAACGCCCACACCAACGTTACAAACACTCGCATGCAAACCTTGTCCCAACTTCACACCCTCCACACGACTATATTAATTACTATTTTTTTTTTTCTCCATGCCTGACCTCTCTATGCTCCCACTTCTATTTTTATATTTCATTGTCCATTTCTAGACCACTTCACATAGTGAGTCATTTAAGTCTTATCCTACTAATCCCCCCCCATCCCTTGCCCGTTGTTGTCGGGGGGGGCTTAGGAGGCGGAGACTGGGACCCAATGATGGGAATCACCCAACCTGGGAACAAGCCCTCGACTAAACTATTAGCATGGTCTTTTTTGTCCCTTCCCACTTTTGTTTGCTGTCCCTCACCAAACCCTTCTGCTATCCACCTCCTAAGGTGTGGAGACGCGGCTGAAAGGATGAAAGGCTGACTTTGTGCCAGTCCTGAATGGCCTGAGGGAACCATCGTCACGGTATTCCCTTGATTTAGATCTAGCCTTACCCCTCAGGGGACCCGAGGGGTGAACTGTTTTATCACCAACATAACCAGCTACCATTGGCCAGTAATGAAAATATATCCCCACTGTTTAGGTAATGAGGCTTGCCCCTTTATCACATAGCCCCAAAGAAGTAAACCCACCCGATTCCCGACCCCAGGCTCTCCTTGACCACGGCTCCAAACACTGCAATAACTGCCCCTTACCATGCCTACTAGTACAGTAGCCAACAATAAACCTCAAGGACATTTCCACTCTCACAGCAGCCCACTTCAACAACTCTACCCCCAAACCTCAACATCACCCACCCCATCCGTCCCTTATTAATACCTACAGCCTTATAGCCCACATCTCATAACATACCTTCATCACACTACTTCATCTTCGTCACGCCCTAGACCTTCTACCACCCCTCTCTAAAACAATCTTGAATACTCTCTTCGGCAGCCAAATGGGAACGAGTTTTGCGTGATCTCCCACAGCTCACCTACGCTGACAACACCCTTGCGTTCCAACATGCCTCCAAAAACAAGTAGGTAAAGTCTCTTCTAGCCGACCCAACGCTCCCGTTTGTAACAGTAACATCCGAAAAACCAAGCATTGCATTAACAAAATGACAATGGTAACCCCAGTCCCTAGCAGAACCTCATCAACCCGCAATACTTGCACGGACCGTCTAACTCACCAGCAAATTGCCAATCTATGACAAGATTGGTCAGATTGTGGAGAAGAATCTACGTGCAGTCTACCGACTACGATGCAACATCAGTCAATGCTACTCCATTCCACACCCGAGGTCATCGAAAGAAACCCACTAACATAGCCAAAATTACCTTCCGTGACAGGACCTCCTTTAAACGTCTACATAGGAGGAGAATCCCTCACCTGTTCGTCCATACCAACCTCCTCCAACGTCAGTGCCAAAATGTTGCGTCTAGGACACCCAGCAAAACACTGCCATTCCACAGCCAGATGGCCCAATTAGGCCCAACCTGGCCATACCGATCTAATGCTTGCACAATCACGCAAGTGCCAACTGTGGCGGCCCCCATAATGTTTTATAGGGGCTGTCCCACCTACAAAATTTGAAATCTGGGTAGCAACTCTTCAGATTCAAACTCGACTCACAACTGCTTGAAGCCAGACAGAAGCACGTCGATGTGGATTCTAGTACTCCTTACTCCAGTAATACTGCTCATTCTAAAACTTCTCAAACCCACCCATCCTACATCGAACCCCCACTAACCCCCACTACCTCCCCAGTCAAACTCTTGTTTTTTTTTTTTACATCCTAAACCAGAAACTCCAATCTCTACTACAGATACTCCAATCAAACACTACAACCCCAACACCTTCCCTCTCCCTCTCGCATCCCGTAACCGACAGAACAAACGTTCCAAACTCTCTATCCCCTACCACCAATCACTCCACATACTTTTGCCCCTACTCTTGGAGACACCAGTCCTCTATGTACCCCTCACAGAAATCCTTTATCCCCAAAACTCTCTTGAGACACCAGCGTTCTCTTCCCCCCTAACAAGAAATCCTTTATCCCACAAAACTCCCCAACTCCATGAAGCAAAACTCTTGAAAATATCCAAGACTTCTTAATGAAAATGACCCCCATCAACCTTAAATCCTACAAACAACTCCGCTTCCTACACACCAAGTGACTGACGATATCCATCTTCCTCCTAACGAGATCCCCCCTACACCCTAGGCCCCTACCCATCCCAACACAACCATCCCCCCCAACTCCAACCCCACCAACATTAACCCGCCCACCATCCCTCTATCCCTTCCACTCCCTCCTGGATACCACACATGAATCCCTATATCACAAGCAGCTTTCCACACCCGTATAACACACCCCTATGATGTCGCATCCGATCCACCACTAGGCTCTTTATGAAGGATTCTTTTCAGCCACACTTCTATTTCAGGCACACTTTTGAAGCAGGCCTGTAGCTCTGCTTCCCCCCCCCCCACCCAACCCCCCACCTATCCTCTTTCGAACAACCGTTTTCTCTCAAAAACACATAAATACCCTCACTAATTAAACCCCTTTACATTACATAACCCGACCTTAAACATTCCACTCACCAATTCCTTGCCAGTTTTGTTAACCTAATCACTAACTTAACCACCTTTACTAACATTACTATAGGGGTACATGGACCTTAGATGTCTAGCACCTTTATTTTTGCTTTAACCATTACCATTAACCATTATCCTACTTCATGTGAACCACAGTCCTAATCTTCCCATTATGTGGTTGATAGAATCAACTGGCATACTTTCACTTCACTCTTATTATTCTAACCCTCATCCCACTTTCATACATTTCAGATGTGATTCAATGTACCGTGAAACATCGTAACAGGTGAAATACAGCCATTCTCGAACCTCAAGACCTTGTAGCTTTAAAGTTTTCCATGGTGAAATTCTAATTGCAGCAAAGGGCTTCACTCTTAAAATGGGCAGCCTAGAACCGTTCTGGCTACAAATGAGGCAACCCAAACCACGATCAGCCCTTGTATCTTTAAAGGAAATGCCTGTCTTGGTCACACAATCCGGAGCAGGTTAAAAACATTTTTCCCCTCGATTCTCTTACATCTACTGTATTTTCGGTGCTGTTTGGCATGTGGATATTAAATTCTCCAGCAAACCCTCCCCAATCTTCCCATATTCGAGATGCTCTCATCTCTGAATCTCTCCAAGTAGGTATGAACTAGGTTTAATATTTCAGCCAGTTTAAGTAGTGGATCGCTCCTTTCTCTGCACTTCTTTCATAAGACATCAAGGAATGGACCCCAATCACCTGCTATCCTAGGGTCCTTTTTCTTACCTGGCCCTGGCAGTATTCACTACCGTATGCTCCACAGCTCGCATCTTCCTTTGTTCCTCCTACTATTTTCAACCACATATGGACGTAGGAACTTTCCTTTTCACATGACGAGCTCTCATTTGCCTGCCCTTCTTGAAAACCAAATAAATTTTGTACCCTCCCTCAATATTATGCCCTATTCCAACAAGATGGCTTGTACAAACTACTAGAGGGACATGGGTAATTTCCACTAAATGTGGTATCTGCATTCTTCCGCCGTGGCCCGAAGACAGCTGATCCCCTTGCTCCATTCAAGACGTATTACATCGCACCATGGATCTTTTTTAAATACAAAGTACATGGCAGCATATATTCACCATCTTACTCCATAAAAGCCACCCATGTTCATTGTATGCTAGAAGTCTTCCTCTTCAAATGCACTTTCCAGGTAAAAATTGCCTCTTCTACATAATCCTTTCCTCGTTTGAAAGCAATCCCACAAGGCAGTGTGATCAGTACCACTTTCTTCCTGCTATGCATTGATCAGGTTACTGGTGGTAAAGGTCAAGACACTTTTGAGTCTGCAATATCAGTAATCTTCCTGGGCCATTAA